CCCCACTGGGATCTCAGACATCAGAGAAGTCTTCGAACGCTCCCCGTTTACGTACGTCCTCAGAAAAAGACCGAGTCCCGGACCACAACCCCGGGACCTCACACACGAGCGTGTTGGGAAGGGGCGCATCCCCCACGTACAGGTGTGCGGGGGGGGACACACACACCCTGTGCCAGACAAGGGCAACTGCGGGTGAGTAGCAACGTGGCTCCTCGCTTTGCCCTTTTGAGTTTCCGGATCTTTCCAGTCCTCGTTTGCTCTCACAAAGTTGGCGCGCAAAGGGAGCATTTGGCCCAAGATCATCAGTCTTAGAACACTAAACACTTTTAATAGCTAAGACTTTGCGTTATCACGAATGTGCCGAAAACAACAGCAGCTGCAGCATATCGGAAAGCAAACAGACTTTTTCTCATGAGGTCCTTATTTAGAAAGAGACACAGACATGAGCCCATTAAGTGGGGACAATTATTCTCCCCCAACAGGGCTGCATCTTAAAAAGAGCTGAGGGAGGAAAGCAGGAGGAGAATGAGGCAGGCGTTGAGGGAAGGAAAATCCGTAGGGCACCCACCAGGGCCTGAGGAGAAATGGGATTCATCGTCTGCTTGAAGGCAGGGAGCCCAGAAGCCAGCGGGGCTTTCATTGCCCCATTCCACAGCGCGTGGTGCTCAGAAGCAGGTGGCGCTTCTTGGAGCTCCTCGCTTCCGAACGGCTCACGCGCCCAAGAAGAGAAGCTCATAGTCCTCAGGACTGGAGGCAGGGAGCTTCGAGGGCGAGCAGGGCATCTGTTAGGGAAAAAACAACAACACTGGAGGCTGGAAGAGCAAATGGAGCAGAAGAACGGCCACGAGAAGTCTCTGGACTTGTTTACGCAGGCAGATTTTGAGGGGAATAACCGCCTCCGCCTTTGGGGCTGGAAGATTTTAGGCGGGGGCTAAGCGTGGGGCCCTCCTTTGTGCAGGAGACGAAGGCAAAAAGCTACCCCCTTGTGACTCTCTTTGCAATGGTGCCCCTGCGACGTGGTCTCAGTTCTCCATCTCAAACAAGCACACACGAACTCGCCTGCGCTCTCTCCAGCTTGACGTCTGCAGCATCAACTTGGTGCACATTCTTCATTCCAGGCCTACAACAACCGCCGAGAGCACTGACACCTGATCTTGGGATGCTGGACTCTCTCCGGAAGGACAGCTGCCACTTCCAAAGTCAACAACCGCCGAAGAGTAATTTGCACTTATAAACATGCCGAGTCTGAAGTCACGAAGCTGCCCTGTCAGAAAAAGAGTATTTGTTCTGTCTATGGAGTTGGTCGGTCATCCAAGTCACTGTTGTCCCCAAGGTGCTTTTTTCAAAAAGCCGCTGGACTTTTGAAACTGCATTTCTGAACTGAAGAAGCATTTTGGAGGAGAAGGGAAATGTCTTCAAGGAAAAACAGAGTCCAGTGGCCTTGTGGATGACACAGAGTGCACCACAAACGTAACAAAATCCAAAACGTAAATAAATGTCCTTTAATGCCTCCAACTTGGCCCCACTGTTCAATAATTCTCAGTTGGAGATAAAAATGTACTCAAAAATAGTCTTCAAAAGAAAGCAATACAGTCCGAACTTAATGAGCAGATAGAGGTGAAATAAAAAACCCAAACAAATTACAGTGAAGAAATTTCCACAACGGAACAGGAGAAGTATTTACCAAAGTCAAGGAGATAACAAGGCACAGTCTGTTGGAAGAACGCCAACCAAGATAAACCTTCTTTAGGAATAACACTAATTTGTCTCCAGCGTCTGTTAGCACGCAGGTCCAACCTTTTATGCAAATGTCACACCTGCAACCCATGAAGAGGATCATGGCCCTCTCCTCCCGAGTAGACCACATTTTACCCTGATCCTCTCCTCCCTGCGTGCCTTGGGATGGAGAGGGGATGGGCCTGGGTCCTCCTCTGACTGCCCAGCCGGCCTCTGCCCTTCCCCAGCCTCCTCCACAACCTCCGGAGCCACACTCCCACTCCCTGTCGGCTGTTCCTCCTCTTCCTCGGAGTCAGTCTCCAACAGGGGCATGACAGGCCTTTTGAAAAAGCACCTGTGGGACAGTATTTGTTCTGAAAAATATCATTTCTCCTCTGCACTTTCTCCGCTGTTCTGTTCTCTGTCCCAGTCCGGACTCTGTCACTGTTGTGGTTCTCCGGCAGCAGGTGTGGACGGCTGAGGTGTTGGAGAGCGAGGACTCAGGCGAGGGGCCTGCGTGTGATGCAGGGATGGGGCCAGGACCATCGGGGAGTGAAGTGCTGCCTTTGGAGATGGTGGAGGCTGGCAGCAGTGAGGAAGGAATCCTTCAAGGTGCCTTTTGTCTATGTCTTCAAATCATAACAAGTGAACCAGGGGTGGGATGCAAATAGTTTTAATACCAGTTCTGTGGGCCTGGCTAGGTGAGCGTGGCCATGTGACTGGTGGGGCATCACTTCTACTTCTTCTTTTTTCGTGTGCAGTACCTTCCCACCACCTCACTCCATTTTTGAGGGGGCCTCCTGGGCCTCAGGGAAGCCTCCTGGGGGGGCGTCTTTGCTCCCAGGAGGCTTCCCTGAGGCCCAGGAAGGCAAAAAAACCTGTGTGTGTGTGTGTGTGTGTGTGTGTGTGTGGTGGGGGGGGCGCAGCACGCATACCCCCAGGCGCCCCTTTTTTGCCTTCTGAACCTCCTGGGCAAAGCAGTAAGACAGCGAGGGGGATCCTGGCACAGCTGATCATCGGAACAGCTGATCGTCGGGAGGAAAAATAAATAAATAAACACCGATTCGGCCGGTATTTTTCGCTACCGGTTCGTGTGAACCGGTAGAATCCCACCACTGAAGTGAACCTAACCTGACAGTTTGCATGAACTCCAGGATCGACTGGATGCAAAATCGTATCAGGCTCAGATCAGAATGTTTTCAGTGGCGAAGTTGATCAACTGAATCTCCGTCAGAGCTTTCAGGGGTCTCTGGAATTGTGCAAAAGTCTCCAAAACAAGACAGCCTTACAAAGGTTCCCACATTCCTGAAGGAAAGGTCCCTAGACAGGGAGAAACCTACGTATAACAATAGAATTCATCTTGCCTCAGGTGCCCTGGACAAGAATGTGCCAGTTTGACAAGCAATCAGAGAGAACGAAAGAGATGTGGAGGCAGTAGAACCTCAGCAGTAGCAAATGCAGATATCTGAGTAAGCAGAAATACAGATTAAAAAAAAAAAAAGATCTTTCAGCAGAACAATGGATCTTGCTAGAAGACTGCAAGTGGTTCAAGGATTTGGATAGACCTCCGAGACCTGGTCTTTTGTCTCAAAACACAACCCAACTCCTCCGAGTAGGGTCCTCGGTCTTATCTAGGAGTAGCTGCTCAAGATATGCCCCGCCCCTCCTTTGTTCACCTTGCACTCAGAACTAGCAAAAGCCCCTTATCTGAGTAATAACTTTTCCCTCTGGATCCCTCTGTTGCCTCCAGTGGCTTCAATCACCTGCTCCTGCAGCTCACCACAATTCCCACTTGTTTCCTCCAGGTTCCATTCCCCGGTTTTCCTCGGTTCCTGAGCTGCATCCTCTCCCACCCACCTACCTACCTCCCCACTCCCCGTTTTCCTTCTCCAGTAAAGACCTGTGGAGGCTGAAAAGAGCTCCAGACCGTCCTATTTAATTCCCTTGCCTTCCCCATCACAGAAGGCTTGGAGCAACCTGGTCTATCTGGAGGAGGAACGAGTCCGCAGTAACCTCTCCCAAGCTAAAGCAGAAATCAAGGGGTTCGCCAAGGTCCAGGGGAGAAGGCCCTTCTGTCCCCCCATGGACCCTGAAATGGGGAACACCAACATCCTTTGCTGCCCCTTGTCACCCAGCGGGTCTGAGACAACTCGCTGTGGCCAATTCCCCATGTCCAACTTGCTGCAAGACAACTGGCGGCAGGACAATTCAACGCCGTATTAATCATTTCAATTCAGCTACTGTCATTATTAGTGACCACGTTTCCATCAAAATTACTGTAACTCTTGTATTTCTGGATTGACTTTATTTTAAATAATACAGTCAAAAGATGAACAGAGGTAGATGCAAGCATTTCGCATTGACTCATCAGTGTCTACGTTATAATAACACGGTTTTAAAACCAGCCTCAAATATAACCGTGTTATCGTAATGTAGATACTGGTGAGCCAATGCGAAATGCTTGCCTCTACCTCTGTTCGTCTTTTGACTGCATTGTTGAAAGTATTAAATGGGGCTAAGTGTTTTAAATTTCTTTATTTTATTATTATCGGCCACGGTTCTGTCCACATTAATTTAACGTTTGCACTTGTTGAATTGCCTCGTGGTGAGCTGTCCCACGGCCAGTTGACCATGGGGAGTTGGCAGCAACCCAATCCGGTCACTCAGGGCAACTGGTGGGCATTTGCCCGTCTGCTGAAGGGGGACCCTTTGAGTTTGGATAGGGAGCTCCTGAAGGAGATTGGGATTCAATGATCACGAGGGATCCAGATTTTGCAAAAGAGACTCGCCAACAACCATGTTCTCCCACGGGAGGCCCCCCCCCTTCCAATCTGTTCTTGTTTACCACTCAACTCTGACCCCCGTTAATGGGGCTCCCGTTTTTTTTTTGTTTTTTTTTTTGCACACCTCAAGCAAGCAAAATTGCACCCTGCCTTTCTTTGCATTTACCTCATCTGGCAAGGCGGAGAGGCGATCAATTAACCCAGGGATTCTACTACAGCCCCTCTTTTCCAGGAAGGGGGGGTGGGTGGGGGAGGAAAAAAAAAGAGGGGAGAGGTTTCCCTGAAAACAGCCTCATTTCCCCAAGAATTCAAGAGGAAGACTCAGGAAACGGCACAAAGCGGAACAAGGCCAGGCGGAGTTGACGGCTCAGAGCTGCACAAGGCAACTTGTCTCGCTGTGGAGGACGTCGGGCCATTGTGCTTCATTAGGAAACAAAATATAAGCTTTCCAGTCCATTAGGGATGACTTTAGGAGTGAAAGCACATAAGACAGCGACTCACCTCATCAACAATGCACTGGAGTAACTGGAGAGGCTGTGATGGAAAGGGGTGGGGGAACAGGGGAGAGAAGTATTAGGCCATATGCAATATCTTTACATGGAGTGGAAAAGGGGGGGAAAAAATCATTAATGCAATAAAATATAGCAAGATTAATCAACAGCAGCAAACTCTTATAAAAACATCGTGGCTCAGGATGTCCTATTATTTCTAATGGTACCTAATCTAATACAGGCAGTTAAAGGTTTGCTTTTTCCGCAAAATGCAATTTGCTAAGTTTAAAACAAGGCATTCAAGCATGCGAAGAAGCAGCCATCAGGAAAAAGAAAAGTGAATTTTTTTTCCCAAACTCATAAAGCTTACCATTAAAGATCCCTGGTTTTTCTGAATCTGAAAAGGGGGAAGAAAAAAGGGGAGGCAATATGTAATTAGCATGTCATAATCAAAATGACTCACTTGGACACATTATGATCACTGAGAGAAAATTATTGTATCGCTGGTGGCAATTTGTGGGCATGTGTTAACACAATTTACATAATGAAAATACACAAATGTTAATAGCTCGCTTCTCATTTATAGGCGAAAGTCAGCAGAATGTTAATTTCACACAACACTTTTTAGTACCCTCCAGGTTGTATTAGAATAGGGAGAAAAAGCATAATCCATTTCAAAAGGCTGTTTACGATTCAGATATAAATAATGTTTTATATTGCTCGATTGTGAGCACTGCGCTTAATGTTGCAATCATTGCTAATGTTATGAAGCTCACTCTTTTTAAATTAAAAACCGATTTATTTAAAATTGAAATTAAATCATAGTCAGAAATTAGAATTTTGGATTACTGCCAGAGTCTGCTCATAATCCACCCCCCCTCTTTTTTTAAGAAAACTTTAATTATGTAGCTGAACTATCTGCCTGTACTTGGTGAATACCAGTTGATGCTCCACTTTTGGCAGTTTATTACGTGCTCTCAAGCCCCATAGCTACTTTCCATCTACCTGCTTTAGGTCTGAGAAGTGCCTGTCTCCCCAATTCCCAATGACCTTGAGAGGAACCTGCAAAACTCAAGCCGAAATTCGAACTGAAATCGTATCAGGATTGAGGACGGGGTTGGAAAACAAGACCTCCACACTCCTCCTTCCAACTCGATTACGTTCTACGGACGAATCAAGTCGGTTCAGCAATCCGGCCTTGGTTTACTGGCTCAGAAAGTCAGTTTCGTGGGCCCGAGACCCATGGATGGACCAAGAGACCTGAAGAAGGTGAAGTCCCTGCTAAGCTGCCAGTAACCCATCCAAACTTTTGCACAGATCAACATGTCCCTTCAGTTTTATAGCATGTTATTGGACAACCCTAGATTTATTCACTGGAATTTAGAGTTTGCCCCATGCCAAGGGGAGTTTTAATTTTTAAAAAAAAATCTAGAAAAAGTCCAAAAATGCTGTGAAGTCACAAAGCAAACTTTAAAAGATTTCTGGGATACACGGAAAGGCATGAACCTAAAACATCTTTATTTTTCTTGCAATGGTTGACCCTTCCCATTCAATATTCCCAGCTCAGCAATGTCAAAAATGATGAATGGCTGGTATGCCGACAATCGGCTTCATGGCTCCTTCTCCCCAATTTGCTGGAGGCTTTCTCTCTTAAGTAAAAGTTTGCCCAGGTAACGATGCACAATGGAATCCAGCCCAAATCCATACCTGAACATAGCTCCCCCACAAGGGAGCGGGAAGGACACCCTTGCACTTGTACCTGTAGGGTTAGGGTTAATGGCTGGGGAGGAAACTGGGGAAGGGCACAGTCCGGCTGGGCATTCAGAGGAAGTCCCAGGCCCACCCGCTCTTCATCCTAGGGCGCGCAGGAACGGAGAAGGGAGCAACCTGGATTACGGGGGAGAAAAGGGCCCTGATTCCCTTCATTAGCTGCAGCTGGGAAAACAGGATTTAAAAAGGGTGTTTGCTCACAGCACCTTGCTGGAAAGCGTGAATTATCTTTGTTTGCCGCATCTTATCTGGGTTCTGGCATCATCCCAACTGTGTGTGTTTTGTTATCTTTTAGAAGTCTGCAATTCCTTATCCTGCCCTGTCTTGTTAATTGCTGCAGAGTGGTTTATATTGGTTTTTATTTATAATTTATATGTACTTTGGGTTCAGACTGAATTTCTTCCTTTTAAAAACTGTTCTTGGGAGAGTTTTTTTCTCCAGCCGATGATAACTGGACACTGGGGGGCCAAGTTGGAGGAATTAAAGGGACTTTACTCTTTTTTTTTTGTGACTTTTCTGCTTCTGTGCCACACCCCGGGTCATCACAGCAATTGAAGTTAAGACAGCACTGAAAAAAGTGACCTACGACAGGTTCCGATGGTCATGTAATCCCAATTTAGGCACATGGCAACTGGTATATATTTGCTTTTGTTCCCCCTACTAGTTTTTATTAAGAAAGACTTTGAACAGGTCAAACTAATATGAGAACTTAATACAAAAATACATAAAACAGGAAAAGGAAAAAGTGTGGGGGGAAAAATCCTACATAAAAAAGGAGAAAAAAACATAAAATCTCCCCAAGGAAGTAGTAAGAAAAAAACACGCCCTTTTACATCCCCAGCAAATATATTCAACATTAAGAACTTATCACTGTCTCTTAAAATACAACCTAATACATCTTCATTCCATACTTCACTCTGTTTCCTATAAATTTATTTCTAAATCTTCAACTCTCCTTATAAATCAACAAAGGTCCAGTAAAAATTAAGAGACACCCAGCAACATAAATACATAATCTCTGTTTCCATTTAATCTAAATCCTGCTCATCCCTCGCTTTTATAATCAAAACCTAATCCCAATTAATAATTAAGCACTGTAAAAAATTAAACACTGTTAAACATTGCCAGAATTAGTAACCCTTATTTACATATAAAAAAATAACATAGATATTGCAAGATAAACCATGGCATCCAGTGAAACATATTAAAAAAAGCTATCCAGTCAAGATAACTATTAAGCATATCCATAATCAAATAAACCAACTTTGAATTTTTTTCCCTTCTTCCTCCTGGCCATCCTTCAGTCCCATAGATCAGGGGTCGCCAATCTTTTGGACCTCAAGGACCACCAAACTCATAATTTTAAATCCCATGGACCAGAGGCCCTGGGAAAATCCCCAAATAAGCCTGCAGGAAAATTCCCTATCCCGTTTTCCTACCGATCGATCATTCTTTATTTGGATGCAGGATACCATTTCCAGCTCCGTTCTCACAGGGAGAGAGAGCGAGAGAGACTTTTGGCTTCATGCAAGGAAAGCAGCAGAAGTCTTTATTTCTCTTCCACAAACTCCGCCAGAAACGAGCCTTTGTGAGACTTGTCGCACTGGCGCAGCCTCTTGGAGCAGGAGGCCTTGCAGGGTCCCAAAGACTCATTTCTGGTGGAGTTTGGGGGAGAGAAAGAAAGACTTTTGCTGCTTTCTGAGATTCAACCTGGAATGAGGAGAAATTTCCTGACAGGGAGAACAATCAACCCATGGAACAGAAGTTGCCTTCAGAAGTTGTCAGAGCTTCAACACTGGAGGTGTTCGAGAAGAGACCGGATTGCCATTTGTCAGAAATGGTGCAGGGTGTCCTGCTTGGGCTAGAGGACCTACAAGGTCCCTTCCAACTCTGTTAATCTGCTATCTGTTACTATATTTTCCTCTAAGCCTTTGCTGCCCGGTTGTTCAAACTCTGCTTCTCTAAAGTACATTTTTCAGTGCAACGCAATGTTGCTTACTATCTCTAACCCTGCAAACTTGGAACATTTCAGCAAACAAAACAGCCAACTCAACCAACTAAGCATCTGATATTAGGATGTACAAGGACATTGTTTGTTTAAGGTTTTTCCATGTAAGGTGCTAGACTGGGAGGATTCTCCACTTTCTACCACCATGAAAAGCTCCTCTTGAGCTAGGAGGAATATTTTCCAGCTCTGGAGACCTCAACTTGGCCGTTCTTTGCAGCCAATTTCTGGAATGCTTCCTGGGATGTTCTACCTGCTCCAGTTCAGCGTGTCTTCTCTGGGTTCTGTTTGGTGGGATTAAGATTGAGCCAAGCAGAAATTCCACCCAGAAGCCTTAAAACAGGGTTTGTCAAATTTGGCAACTTTAAGACTTGTGGACTTCAACTCCTAGAATTCTGGAAGTTAAAGTCCACAAGTCTTAAAGTTGCCAAGTTTGGAGACCTCTGCCTTAAAATAATTCTTTTATTTCCTTTTACAATTACTAATATAACGTATAGGAAATATTCAGTAAACTTTTAAACTTCTGTATGAATTGTCATAATCTGCTACGATTGCTAGTGTTACGGGTAGTCCTTGAATTCCAACCATAATGGAGTCCCTGATTATGGCTATAAATTGTGATGGTTATACCGTGGGTCACCGCATCACCAATTTAACAACTGTTTTGGGGGTGGCCATTAAGTGAACCCATTGTTTGCTATGGGGCAAGAAACAAAACGTAAACGCCAGTTTCCAGCAGGGTCCCGCAAATGGCTGTAAACACAGACCAACTGTGGCGCATCCAACACGCAGTCATGTGACAGGGGAGGGAGACGTTAAAATTTCATAAGTAGCCTGTGGGTGTCCCTTGTAACTTCAGTTACTATGCAACCAGTCATAAGTCAAGGACTATCTGTACTTATATAATACAGAGTGAAATAGTATATTCTATAGCAGTGGCTAACCTTTTTTCTAGTTGTGTGCTGAAAGTGTGCGTGCATGCGCCCCTGCACCCATAATGCAATGCACGCACGATCTCCCTGCCCATGCGTGCATGTCCCCCCCACCTGTGCATGTGTGTGCATCTCCCCCGTATGCGTCTCCCCCTGCGCATGCACGGCCGATAACTGACAATCAGCTGGCTGGCGGGAGGGGGGAACGCGCACATGCACAGTGGGTCTATTCCAGGCGACCTTTCGCATGCCGGCAGAAATGGCTCTGCGTGCCACTTCGGGCACGTGTGCCATAAGTTTGCCATCACGGTTCTATAGATTCCCTGGAATGCTGAATAAAACACATTTGCATTTATATCCAGAAGGAAGGGTCTGTGGGGATTCTCAGCCCAGGTCAAGGTTTTGCTTCTCATGCAAGAAGCTTCTTGGATGAGAAGCGAAACGTCTTCAAGGAAAAGCCAAGTCCAGCTGCCTTTTTGAAAAAAAAAAAAAACACCTTTGGGACATCCAGCAGGAAGGTTGGGTGGGAAATCTGGTTAAAAATGCAAGAGGTTTCATATGTTTCATGTCATAGTTACATTCATGGAAGTTTTACTTTTGCAAAATACATGCCTGGCCTGCATCCAATTCTACTTCTCTATTTCTTCCTCTGTTATTCTTCCTTGAATAATGAAAAAAGCGCCGCTTTCT